CCACTGTGGCTCACAATCTCCTTCTGCTGCCCAAAAACCAAGATGTAGGACTTCTGAGCTCCTTCTCTAACACCATGTCTGCCTGCACACTGCCATGCTTCTTGCCGATAATGGATTAAGCCTTTGAACTGTAAGCCAGCTCCAATTAAATGTGTTTCTCTATAAGAGTTGTCACAGTCATGGTGCCTCTTCACAGCTACAGAGCCCTAACTAAGACAGTCTGTAATCCTAACTGCTCAGCAGTGGAGGCAGGAGGATCCCAAATTCAAGTCGGCCTAGACAACTTAGTAAGGCTCTGACACAAGACTAGAAATTCACAAAGGACTGAGAATCTAACTTGCATTAAGGAGTTCAATCTTCAGCACTGGGGGAAAAATATAGACAGAGAATGTTAGGACCCCTAAATTTGACAATTTCTTGCCCTTTTCACTAACTATGATGTCCATCATGATGGTGGTCTCTAATTCATGCTCTCCAAGAAACAAAGATGACATGAGCAGACGGAATGCTGGACCATCCTCCTATTCTTCTGTGAACTGAACTCCATCATTAGATGGGGTCACGTTCAAACCTATTAGCAAGTGACTACTGTTGACTTGGAAGAAACCAGAGGCAAGTACTTCACTTGCTTACTCAGGCTGAGTGTTCCTAATCCAAAAGTGCTGCAAGTCCAGCGTGCCAGCACGGCAAGAGAAGCAGTGGCCCACCCCCGCTCTCCAGTGCATGGCTGTGGTTGAAACCCAAGTGTTATCACCAACACTGAGCAGACTTGCTTCTGCATTATATGTACATGGTGCACATGAAACACGCATGGATGTCATGTTGACAAGTGTGTCCCCTCCCCCAGATACTTCTCAGATGGAAAGCAGATATGCATTAAGATACTCCACCTGAACCTCTCTTCTGTTTTCTGCTCTGTGTTCTTTGGTACGCATGTGTGTATGAGGAAGAGGGGAGGATCTTTCTTCCCTCACCATTTTTTATATTGTTTTTAAGGCAGGGACTCACATTGCTCTAGCTATCCTAGAACTCACTATGTAGACTAAGCTGGCTTCACCATCTTTTACAATGGAAAGTAAAGTTCCTGTCATCCCAATTTCCATTCAGTCTTCAGCTTTCCGTTTCTAATGGCTGTAATGGGTGTACCGCTGCTCGCTTTTTGCTTAGCTAGAACACACACTATTAGGGAATAGTTGGAGATGACCTTCCTGTGCTAATTCTCTTAGATTCTCACATCTCTTTTATCGAATCTTCCTTAAATGGGGGGGGGGGTAAAAAATTAATTTCCTTATTAGGAACTCAAGTCAGTTATCATGGAAAGAAAATCATTATTCTCAATGGTGTTGAATGATCTTCCTCCAAGCACCTTCACCTCCAACACAGAGCCAGCTCTGTGAGTGCTTCAAGAAAATTAAGCCAAGGCAAACCGGACTTGTCAAATGGATGTGCTGTGATTCTCTGCTCCACACACAGAAAAAGATAGCTGTAATACTGAGTTTCTAAAGCAGTCCAACAGACAGAGAATGGAACCTTTAACCCCAGCATGAGGGGGGGCAAAAGCAAGCAGATCTCTTAGAGTTGGAGGCCAGCCTGTAAGTACGTGAGCTTTGTCACCCCATCCACAACACGCACGAGAATGCAAACCTCCAGGGCTATAGGAAACTGACTGGTCTATAAAGTAAAAGTGCGGGCATGGATGGTTTAAAGTGATTGGTCAGCACCGCGCAGGCTCTGGATGCTATGAGATGACTGGTTTAAGATGCATGGGCTCTGTTGTAAACCTATAAAAGCTATCTTACTTCCGCATTCGTGGTCCTTAGCCCTCTGCCCCTGCGTGGCGCATGACTGTGGACCCCAGTGCACTGGAATATAAAAGACCTCATGCTTTTACATCAAGTCTGCTTCTCGTGAGTGATTGGGGGGGGGGCGCCTTTCCTGAGTCGGGGCATGAGGGTCCACACTCCACGCTCTGTGGGGCGGGTCTTTCAACTGGTCTATATAGAGAGTGAGCTCCAAGACAGACTTTGAAAGAAAGAAAGAAAGGAAGGAAGGAAGGAAGGAAGGAAGGAAGGAAGGAAGGAAGGAAGAAAGAAAGAAAGAAAGAAAGAAAAAAGCTACACAGAGAAACCCGGTTTCCAAAAACAGAACAAACAACAACAATGGACAATTAGGATCATGGAAGAATGGCAGGAACCTGATGAATGCAGGGCCAGGGAGTGGCTAATCACTTAGCCGCTGAGGTGGCCAGGCTCTCCCCTAATCCACCCCTTCAGTGGATGTCAGTGACAGTGAGCCTGAAGGGTATGCTACCTGTTGCCTAGGCCCTCAGTGTTAGCCCAAACTCAAATGACACGTGGCCCTACAAGAACTGGCATTTAAAGTCTGCCATTGCCTACATATCCTCTATTCCTTGTAGTGAGATAATCACTTTGTTGGCACCTGTGGCATAGACTACGCCCATTGGGGGGGTGGAGACAGGGCCAGATGTTACCTGGGGGAACTAAGTCTCAGCAGGGGACTGGGAGAGCTCTCCTGCTTGCAGCAAGGGGACAGGAGAGCATCGGGAGGCATCCTTGGGACCAGGAACCTGCTGGTGTTCATCTGTCTCTGTTGTAAGTTATTTCTCCCTGAATAAACATCTATTCGGCCTATCTGTTTCTCCTGATCCTTACCAAACATCAGTAATTCCTGTTTTATATTCAAGTAAAAAGGCAAGAAAAGCCAAGGACTATGAGTTGGAACCTGTAATCTCAAACGCTGAACTACGCTGAGGGGGACCTGGGTCATCAACAGTTGAAAAAATGTAAGAACAGGAAGGAAGACAGAAAGTCCCACTGAGGACGACTCCCTCCCTCAAAGAGCCGAGAACGTCCTGGAAGAGCTGTGATCTAGCAACTGCACTCCCAGCTACATTACCCTAAAACCTGAAGGTGGGGGTTTGAGCAGGCCAGTGTAGCCTAATTAGCCACTGCAGTATGGCTCACAAGAGACTAATGAGCCAAGCAATAAGCGGAGTGAGGGGCCTACTTGTGTTAGGGTATGACTTGGCCTTAAAAACGGAATGAAAATCTGATACATTGTATCACATGGATGAACAGAGAAGGCAACCCTGCTTTGTGAAATAAGACCAGAACAAAACAGGGGGTGAGACCTGTGTTTTGCCGTTGTCTAGAAAGAGAGGGGATAGAGAGAGGGATGGAGGGTGGGGGAGAGAGAGAAAGGTTATCATGTAGCCAAGGCTAGACTCTAACTTGCTATACAGTTAGACCTTGGACCCGCTGCCAGTGGCCTCATACATTGTCCCAGCCACACCACTGTCACCTATGTTAAGGGAGTCTAGTTCGGTCTTAGGCTGGTTCCCCGTTTGTCAGACCTGAGTCAGCGATCTCTCACTAGCGTGGGTCAGCTGATTCTGTGGGCTTCCCCATCGTGGTCTTGACTCCTTTGTTCATATTATTGCTCCTGAGGGCCTTATAATTTTGCTTTTATAGGCAGGACATAGAATTGGCAACTGAGAAGAAAGTGTAGATGAAGTCATGGAATGGGAGGACATGGAAAGTGACTAACAGGGACAGAGTTGGAAAGTTCTAGGGGCAAAGGGTAGTGATAGTGGAGGACAGTATGTCACACCGCTGAAGTGCACATATGAAAAATGAAAATGGCTTAAAAGGCAAACATATATATATGTATATATATATGTAACATATATGTATATATATACTCATATATGTATGTTCATATATGCATATATATACACATACATATATACAAATGCACATATATACACACATACATGCACACACATTATATATATATATATACACATGTATATGTAGTTTGATGAGTGTGCATTTCATGTTTATAAATGTTTTGCTTGTATGTATGTCTGTATACCATGAGAGTGCCTGGTACCCGTGTATGGTTGGAAAAGGATGTTGGAGCCCCGAAACTGAAATTAGAAAGAGTGTAACTGTCATGGGGGTGATGGGAATTGAACCCAGGTCCTCTAGAAGAACACTTAATGCTTTTAACTGCTCGGCCATCTCTCCAGGCCCTTGTTATGTATATTTTACTATAATCAAACATTGGGGGGAAAAAAAACAACATTGAAAAAAATAATAATTTAGCTTTGGTTAAAAAAAATATTAGGGATAGGGATGGGCTAGTAACTGAATATGACTTTCCTAATACCCAAGCTTAGGACTTCCCTCTCAGGATTTCTAAGCAGACTTCCTGTCTCCCTTCCTCTTTCATGGAATGCCAGAAGCCAGACTGAAAGTAAATGGTCCCTGTAAGTCTTCACTAGATGTCTCAGTGGATAAAATGCTCATCATACAGCATGAGAACTTCAGTTCAATCTCCAGAAACCACATAAAAGCTGGGGGGGGGGTGGACAGTGCACATCTGTAACCCCAACACTTGGGAAGGGAAAATAGGTGGGTCCCTGGGGCTCACTTGCCAGCCAGCCTCTGGAATGCAACAGGCTCGCCCAGCAAGACTCTGTCTTAGAAAATAAGGACAGTGATAGAGAAAGACACTCAACATCAACCTCTGGCCTCCACACACATATGAGCATGCATGGGCAAGTGTACTCATACATGAGCACACGTCACACATACACAATTTTAAAAATAAATTTTAAAGGAGAAACTGATAGGTGTGGTGATACACACCTGTAATCCCAGTGCTTGGAGACGGAGGTAAGAGAGTCAGTATGAGTTCGACATCTGCCTGAGCTACACAGTTCCAGACCAGCTCAGACTAGAGAGTGAGACTCCGTCTCAGGACACACACACACACACCTAAATAACAACAACAAATCAAAAAGCACATGCACACACACACACATTGAGATTTCAATTTTTAGAAGGACAAAAGGCATCCGCTAGTGGACACAAAAACAGTAAAAACCTATCTTTTATATCCCCAACCCCAGGCAGCAGTAGGAATTAATCCTGGCCTGCCTGGCTCTCAGCCTGTGATATGGGCTGGCATCTTACCCGAAATGTCTGCTCCGTCTTCTCCCTGTGGGGCATCTGATCCAGAGTGCCATCTGTCTGACTCCTTTTCAGGCCAGTTGCGATGTCAGGGACATTGCTGAAGTCTGCAGTGAAAAGAAGGAAAAAAAGGAAAAAAAGGACACATGGGTGTGGTCATTGGCAGTTGAGTAGCAATGGTTGGCTTAAGAGCCATCCTTAAGAGAAAGAGCAATAGAGAAGAGAAGGAAACAGCCAACAATGAAGAGTAGCAGCCCTTAAGGACATCAAACTGCCTATACGCACACAGCTGCTGCCTGCAGGGGCAAATCTAGGCCCTTGCTGACTGGAACAGCAGCACATCCAGCCACCTCTGAAGAAAGAGAACATAATAATGTCTTCCCAGCCTTGTCATCTTCCTATTTGTGATGCAAACCGCTTTACTAGGCTCTCATCTCAAGTAACGCATCTGGACCAGAAATCTAGCCATCAATGACCTTTGTTGGTGGTTCCCTGTTTTTGGCTAAGAGAAAACAAAATTGCCAAGGATATCTTGGAAAACAAATGACGTCATACCACAGACACTGACGAGTCACAATTTGTTCACGGTCGAGTGAGATTCTATTCCTGGCATCAACCGCAGCTTCACCCTGAGAGCAAACCCTCCACAACCCCCTTGTATTGGTGGTTGAGTCTTAAAGCCTACACTGACACACAGCCCTTTCAATAATTCTCCCCATTCCTTCTCAAGTTAACCAAAGTCAAGAGAGCTGGAAAGACCAGCCTCTCCACAAAAACAACATGGGTTTTTCTTCCAATTCTGGTATTTGATAGACTGCCCCCCCTCCGCTAGGAAAAACCAGATGGTCTCAGATCCCAGGCAGCTACAAGTAGTTAGCCCATCTGTGTAGGTTGAACTCAAAAATAAATTAAGTGACAATGGAACCCTTAGGCATGATCAGGACAAAACGCCACTGGAAGAGCTCGGGATGCTAAGAGATGATTGGTGGGGAGGGAGGCAAGTATCAAATCGCTCTGACGATGGAGTGGAGGGTCTCCAGAGCACATCCCAGTGGTCTACAGAAATCTGCAATTCCATGTCTCTCTTTGCCTCTCCCAACATCCCATCCCACCCTGCACGGACCCCAAGTCACAACGCAGACAGTTGTTCCCATAAAATTAAATAAGGCTAGGTGAGGCAGTGCCCAGCACAAAGCCAGGAGCTGCCCCTGAAGTAGGTCCGTAAAGCAATGGAGGCAAGTATGTCTGGGATTGCCTCTCCCAGGCCCCTGCCACCACACGACGCAACCCCTCACTAGCAGTCCCACTCAATGATAAATGAGACATTAAACCAAAATGAGCCGACTCTCCCTGGGCACTAAAGGGTTTCATAAAAGGGAGGCACGTGACAGAGGTTGCAACTCTGGGGGATGCTTATTTGTCTTGGATGCATAGGCAATAAGGCAGAGCAGGCAATAAGGCAGAGCAGGCAACAAGGGGCCCCCATGGGTGGGAAGCAGCTAAGAAAAGTAAATGCAACGAAGAGTGGAAGTCAATCCGGGAACACGGTGAATGTGTATACAGAAAGCAGAGAGAGCGGTGTCTGAGACACAGGAGTGTGAGGAAGGCAAGGCCTGGGCAGAAAAACAAATCATGTAGTAGATGAAGTAGATGGACCCAGATGTTATGAGTAGGTTCCCCCCCCCCCCCCCCCCCCCCCCGCCGGTCTGGTCCCACCGCGTAACAGGCTAACACCCAGATGTTAACAAATAGAGGGATAGCAAAATTTTAAATTTTAAAATAAAAAATTGGCAGAGAAACGAGAGCGTTTGCAGGGATAGACTCCACATAACCGTCCCTTCTACAAAGTGTGACAAGATGCAGAAAACAAAGCCATCAGAGGAGGTGCTGGATGTTGTGTCTTAGGTGGCTAGGTTGACGGGGAATCCTAAAGGAAGTAAGGCATGGACATTTCAAGCTTAGTTTCAGCAAAGCTAACATACAACTGGATCTTCCAGCAGGAGGTGGTCAGTGGTCAGGCCAAGAAGTCTTCACAGAGGTGGGCCTGGATGTCATTGACTATACCTGGTAAAGCCATGGTGCTTGACACTTACCACAGACAATAAAAGGATTCTATCAGAAGGACCAAGGATGACTGAAGGATGCTACTCAGATGGCAGGACACATACCAAGTGTGCACGAGGCCCCGAGTTCCATCCTCAGCACCACATCAACCAGGCACACACATGCGTGTAACCCCAGCTTCAAGGAGGCAAAGACAGGAGCGTTGGAAGTTCAAGGTCATCCTTGAACAGAGCACGAAAAAAAAACCAAAAAGACAAAAGAAAAACTGGGACCCTGGAAACATCGATGCAAAGTGTGTAGGAGAAAAAGAGGCACATAAGTTAGAGAAGCACATAGAAAAAAACGAGAGGTACATCCCAGAAGCCCCACGACATGCAAGTACATCACCTAGGTAACAGAATCGGATTAGCACGCCGCTGCCTTCACCTTGTAAACAGCTAGTGCCGTTATTTCCCAAGTTCCATCAAGCACAGGAAATATGAGACACGGTTCATACATGCTTTTTATTCACGGTGGAGATTTCGACAGCAGCCCACTCACACCCGGCAGGTGCTGTTGGCATGGGACAGAAACAAGACCGAGTCTCCCGTCCCATGAGGAGTTCAGACACACAAGGGCAGAGGAGCACTGCAGCCTGAGGGGCCAGATGGATGTGAGTGAAAATAGCCTGGGAAGTGTGGGAGTGAGTGCCGAGCTAATTCTGAGTCATTCATTGAATATATTCACAAAACTTGGGAACTTATGGGAGACTCTCCAGCCACTGCTGGTCTCAAATGCTCCTTTACCTCCTGAGACCATGCCTCAAGTAAGAAAGAGAAAGGCGTTGGCTTGCACCCATGACAGAACATGGATAGACCCTAACCATAACTATACCCCTACCCTTAACCCTAACCAATGAGCCTCCCGTCACCATCTTCATCTCCTTCACCACAGAGAGTTTGTAGATTCTGCTGTGAATGCAGGTCTGGGCAGGCTGGCCCACGGGAAACCAACTTCATTGCACCATACCCACCCAGAGACCCAGAGAAGGATGCTCTAGTCATCCCTGAGCTCCAAGGTAGAGAATCTCAGAGCTGTCCTGTCCCACCATCCAGATGTCACAAGGCACAGCAATCTGAGCACACAGAACCCCCAGGATGTCCATCATGAGCTAGCATTGTCCTGGGGGTTGACAAGACTCTTGGGGAGTCAAGCCGGGCAGGGTCGATGGCTACCAACCTGACTTCAAGCGTCTAAAACTTCACCAGTGACCTTTGCGACAGCAAACGTCGGTCATCTGTTTGACAAACACCTAAGAGACAAGCCTGTAGGCATGTCTCAGTGAGTTTCTAGATTGGATTAATTGAAGTAGGGTAGCCCACCCTAACTGTTGGTGGCACCATTCAATAGGCTGGAGCAGAATAGCCAGACAGCAAACAGAACACCAGTGTCCGTCTGTCTCTCTGCTTCCTGACTGCAGAAGCGATTCAGCAGATGCCTCAAGCTCTCATTGGCTGCCGACTTCCCACCATGATGGAGAGTAGTTTCAAGACTTCCCTAGGTTTCTTTTGTAAGGCGTCTTGTCGCAGCAACAAACAAGGTAGTAACCTATGCAATCAGCATTGAGCAAGCCCCATGTGCTGTTTCTAGAGGAAAAATAGGGGGAATGTACATTCGGGAAGAATAGAAACCCAGCAATAAAAAGAGTGTAGGCTGTTCAAATCTGAATGTTCATGTATACCACTGCTTAAGTATGCTGGGTACTAAGTGCCTACCCATAGCCGCACCCACAGGCTGCCCACATCCTAAGCAAGGGCAGCTGAAGTAAGGACATATATCCATCCACCCCTATAAAAATCCTGGGTCCTACCTGATCAGGCCTTCTCATCAGGACATGCATGGTGACATGTTCCAGGGGTTCTTCATTAGTTCTGTAGGATCACACTAAATGTATGTCCCACCCACGCTGCACCCAGTGCTGTACTAAAGCCATGTCAGCCATAATGGAAAACAGCCCATCAACCGAGCTACTTTTGCATGTGTTAAATGTATGCCCTTGTCTGTTTTGTGTGCCTTATGGAAACCGAGTTTGGGGGTGAGGTCTTTCAAATCGAAAAGCCTGCCTTTTAATAATGACCAACAAGAGCTTCTCTTTGGCAGCTGAGGGGACAAAGAGCTGTTTAAGTGTCTACTGCTCCATATGCAATTTAGAGAATCCAGCATTCAGCCCCTGAGCAGTAACGGATGCATGTCAGGAACCAGCCTGCTGACTCTAGACTCAGCTGCCTCTCCTTCTTTAATCAGAGGTATTTCCTAGAGATGGCCGACGTGCCATTCAGTCTGTCATAGAGAGCCATTGCCTCTCAACTATGCCATATGCCCACCAGACCTTGACAGACAAGCAGGGGAAACACAAGTCTTTAAGTATGAGACACCTAGTAATTCAGTGCCTTCCTGAACTATGCGTCAGCATATGCCCCATTAGTGACACTGGCAGCCTCAAATCCTTCCCAATTAAAGGGCAAAACCTGGGTTGAAATAGCATCTTGGGTACCAGCTTAAAAATAGAAACTCCAGGAAATGCTGAAGTTAAGACCGGTCCCATTCACATACTTGGTGATTTTAATCCAAAGATTACAATTATATCTCTTCAAAATCTGATCTAGCACATTTAAGATGCAAGACGGCATCAGTTCATATGCAAGAAAGTAGGTTTCTCTATTTACTTCCTGTCCTAGAAGAAGCGATACCTCCTGTGACCCTGATAAGAACAAAGAGGGATTCCCTGAAACAGGAATGGGGGAACTGAACGTGGGCTTGCTTGTGGGCAATGGCACCCCTGTGGCATCCCACATGCAGACTGGTCCTAAGGATGCCGGACTCTCGTTTGAGGACAGCTGTGTTTGTTTCATCTAGCTGGTATATCCCATAATCCCAGGTAGCAAAGGAATAGGGCTTACGTCCTTTCCAGCCCCTGGACACCTCTCAAGTGCAGTCTGCTTCTGGCTACAAGGGCAGGAAGAAACGCTGGTTCTGGCCTTGAGGCTGCCAGGATGGAACCTGC